GGAGCCTTCCAGCCCTCCGAGCCCTCCGAGCCCTCCGAGCCCTCCGAGCCCTCTTGGGGGGCAGAAGAACATAAGCCGCGACATCGTTTTTTTTATTTTTTGCGACCCCTCCCGGAGGGCCCTTCCGACCCCTCTCGAGCCCTACCGCCACGAAGATCCTCCCTTGTCCGACCGTCCCTCCGAGCCCACCCGGCGTCCGGGGAGGGGGTTAGCCCTGTGGAGCCCTCCCGACGCCGATCCGACGGGGACCCCTCCAGCCCTGTGGGCTGGCGAGCCCTCCGGTCGGAGGGGTGGAAGTGGGAGGGCTCGAGGACGGACCTCTCTCGCTCCGGGAGGGTGGAGGGGTGCAGGGTGGAGGGGGTGGAGGGGTGGCTGAGCCCTCTAGCTCTTCCGATAAGCCCTACCCCTCCCGCCGTTTTAGGGCTTGCTGACCCGCTATGCATACAGCACTGCCAGCCAGCCTCTCCCTCCTCCTCAAGGGCTGTACTATAGGCCATATTGCGCCGCCTCCTACTGGCAGCCGGGCGGGCGCGCGCCGCGCGCGCCTCGGCGCGCGCACGGCTCGCAAAGTTCGAACGAGTACTGCCGCCCGGCCGCCTCAAGGCTGCCGGGCGGCAGTACTCGCCTCGCAAGGCGCGCACCGGCTGCTCTGGCTGCTGCGCCGGCGGCCGCTGCGCTGGCCGCTGCTGCGCTGGCCGGCAAGCGGTACGACCGCCGGCGGCCGCTGCACCCGCGCCTTCCCTTGCGGGCGCCGTCGCGCCGCGCGCGCCCAACTCTGCTGGCACACGGCACGCGTCGTCACTCAGCCGCGGAGAACAGGCGGTGCTGTGCGCGAAGCGCGCGCGATCTCGTACTTTTAAGGCTGGATCCGGCCATTCCAAGGGTATACCTTTGAGAATCCCCAGCGTCCCACCCTCCTAGTCACACTCTCAATATCTCGACTGGCCAACACGAAGTGCTGCGATCGGCGGTGGCCCATTTCTTTTTTCTTTTCTTTTTTGGGTCCTGTGGGCACCCTACCCACCGCCCCCACGCGCGTCCCACCAGAAAGAAAGAAAGAAAGAAAACAGACAACCCAAGGGAGGGATGGGAGAACGGCACGCCGCCACCACACAGGGATTTTAAGGAGAGGAGTGTGATGCGCTAGCCGTCGCCTACCCTAGGGAGTCTGCCTCTTCCTATCTCTCTTCGCAGTCTCTCTCCGATTCTCGCTTCAACCTTCGTGCCACCTCGCGGCCGTCCCACTCTCGTCCCACCACGGCCGGAGAAACTTCGACCATGAATTCTTTTGCACAAAGGCATGGCTGCAGCTCCACCCTCCCACTCGCGCATCGCCGACGCTGCTCGCTCCGCCGCCGCCGGATCCGTGGCTGGCGCCTCCGTCTCGGCGGTGCTCCAGCCGTTCGACACGCTGCGGACGCGGCTGCAGGCGGACGCGACCACGGGCACTGCCAGGCCGGTCGGCGCGACGCTCCGCGCCATCGCCGCCGAAGGCCACGGCGTGAGCAGCCTCTGGCGAGGCTCCACGGCGACCGTGCTCCGAGTCGGCGGCGGGGCCGGTCTCCACTTCTTCTCGCTGCAGCTGCTGCGCGGTGCCGCGGCTGGCGGGAGCGGACAGCGGCCTCAGTGGGTCGGTGATGCGGCGATGGGTGGGACGGCGCGCGCCGTGGCGGTGTTCGCCATGTGCCCGCTCACGACCGTCAAGACGCGGATGGAGGCGAGGCGGCGCTTTCGAGACAGATAACCTTCCACTCCCAAGACGCTCCCAAGGCACTTCCGAGACGATTCCGAAACACTTCCGAGACACTTCCGAGACACTTCCGAGACACGTCCGAGACACGTCCGAGACGCAGGTCGGATACTTCAGAGACTCCCGACACCCCTGCTAGACTCGCGCGTTCCCATCGGACGGCTCACAGATCTGTCTCGGAAGTGTCTCCGAAAGTGTCTCCGAAGTGTCTCAGAAGCGCCTCAGAAGCGCCTCGGAGGCGTCTCGGAGGCGTCTCGGAGGCGTCTCGGAAGTGTCGTGGAGCTGTCCTGCAGGCGAGCGGCGCCGCGGCCTCTCGCTTCTCGTACGCCTCCGTCCCGGAGGCGCTCGCCTCGATCTCAAGGCGCGAGGGGGTGAGGGCGCTGTGGCGAGGCGTGCCGCCCGAGTATCGTTAGATCATGTGGTTTATGCGGCGGGGCGTGCCACCCCGAGCAGTAGTGACTATGTTATTTCCCATTGTCTCATTACTATGTGGCTGTATTATTTATCACTGTCGTATTGTCGTGTGGCGAGTCGTGCCGCCCGAATCGGTACGCCTCCCCCTCCCCCTGCCCCGCACTACTACCGGCTCACCACTCCCTGCACGACCCCCAGCATGCAGTCCCGTCTGCTCTTGCGAGGCAGAGCTGGTCAGTGGCTCACTGACAGGTGAGCAGTACTTACGAGTTCACCACCCCTCCCCCCTTCTTGCGAGGCGTGCTTCCGGCCCTCGGTGCGAACGCACCCTTCTCCGCTGTGCACTACGCGTGCTACTCGCGCCTGCAGGCCGGCGGAGATATGGCCGAGATACAGCCGAGATCTAGCCGAGGTACACCCGAGTGAATCGGCCAAGGTAGGGTTAGGGCTAGGGTTAGGGGTAGGGTTAGGGATAGGGTTAGGGATAGGGTTAGGGATAGGGATAGGGTTAGGGCCGCCACGCCCCGCCTGTCAGTCGATGCTGCATCAAATGATGATCAATCTCGGCCAATCTCGGGAGAGCTCTGCCTCCCCCGCCTCTCTCGATCAAGGATGTCGGGCTACCGCTCACTCACACGGCGACACTCACACGGCGACACTAGGCCGAAATCGCGCGGCGAAGGCCCGCCTCCTCGCCCTCCTCGCCGGCGACCAACTTTGCGGCGGGCGGCGTCGCCTCGGCCCTCGCCACGCTGGCTCTACCCAGCCCCTCGACGCGCTGCCAGAGGGGGGGGGGGGGATACGGTGAGATGAGGGGAGATATTCCGCCTCTAGGCTACTCAGCCCTTCGACGTGCTGCGCACGCGCGGCAGCCTAGAAGCGGGATACGTGGTCATTGTGTCCCAACCAGCGCTCGAGAAGACACGTCTGCCGGCCGCACTACGCTTGTGCCCACTGCGATTCGCCGTGCATCACTTACTCCGCCTCCCTCGTACTCACGCGGCGCTCTGACGACACTGCACGGTGCCGCATCTCCCCCCCCCCCTCTGATGGTGGCGTATTCAGCGCCTCTGTCCGGGCTTCCAAGGGAGGGGGAGGGAGGGAGTTGCGGTGTCCCAAGCGTAGGCGCGCGATGCTCGACCTGCCGGGTGGCGGCGCCGGCACGCAGGGCATGCAGCTCAGGGCGCTGCTGGCGGGCATCGGCCCGCGGCTGGTCAAGCGGTCGCTGCAGACGGCGCTGCTGTGGACGATGTACGAGGAGGTGTACCGGCGGTGGAGGGGGGCGGCGACCCACGTGCACGGGGTACCCTGAGCGGTTGTGCGCCGTTGCCATTGGATGGGGGGAAAATGCTTTTTATCCTGCGAAAGACGCCTACTCTCCCCGCACCTACTTTACGAGCCGTCCCGGGGCGGCAAAATTGATGCGGCCTGCAGGGACCGAAAGGTCGCCGACCTGATCACGGCTGCCGGCGCCTCGGCGCCGGCCGACGCCGTGTTCGGCGGCAGGTTCGCGACGGGCGAGACGCCCCGCTCGACGACCTCCGCCTCCGAGGCGGACGAGGGCGACGGCGCCGGCGGCGATGGCGGGACCGGCTTCGACCTGTTCGGGCCGGACCCCACCCCCATGGAGGACCTTTGAGGCCCTCCCCAGTCTCACCCCACCTTACCTCTGCCCCCCCCTCCCCCCACCCCTCTGCCTCCCATAGGGCAGGGTAGCACTAGCATATGCGCCTAGTGCGCACACTGGGCCCACATAGATGTGACCCGCCCGCTCGAGTGCGGCGTCCGGATGCTAGTGCTTGAGAAGACACCACAAACGCGGCACGGCCCGTTTTGGATGTCTGCGGAGATTCTGTCTTAGCACACACAGTGAGTCATTCGGAGTCATTCGATGGCCAGAGTGCGATTGTGTGTGTGCGGGAGTTGGTTTGTCGGGAGGGAGGGGCAGGCTGCTCACCCACGTGCACCGGGCCAGTGCTTGCACTTTGAATGCCGTGGGGCTCCTGCCCGTGTCCGGGCGTGGAGATGCGAGGGTCGCCCCCCCTTGCCCCACCACTTTGTGTGTGTGGAGAAATCTACCTTACCTTACCTTAGTAAGGAAGGCCTGGAAGTGACCGGCGAACGAAAGAGCGGGCAAAAGAGCGGGCGAGTTACAAAGTTACAAAGCTCGTTATCGCTCGTTATCACTCGTTATCACTAATTATCGCCAATGATTACTCATTATCGCTCATTGTCACAGGCGGCGGCCCACGAGACGCACTGCACACACTGTGACCGGCTCGCTCGTTGGTGTGACAGTGAGCGACACAATCGTCGGCGCCGCGCTATCGCGGCGCCCCGCAGTCTAGACGCCTCAGGCGCACCCCTGAACGCGCCATGAGCGCGCAGGCACATAGCAGCGCCGCGCCAAAAGGTCATTCCCTCACCCGACCCGCGGCTCCATGGCTGCAGCGGTCCGCTCACCTGCACAGGGCAAATTTGCGTCGGGGAGGCTGCGGCATTGCCTATGGCAGTTATGGCATTGGCCGCGCCCCTGTGCGGCCTGGCGCCTGCGCCAGGCTGCGCTGGGACAACGGACAGCGTCACTTCTTCTGTCGACTCTCTCCGCCCCGCTTGCAACGCGACAACGGCTTCATCTTCGCCATCCTCGACATCCATCGCCGGTGCGGCGGCGCCGCGTTGACCAAGAGCGCTAGGAAGCGGCTCAAGGAGAAGGCGAGGAAGGGGCGGCGCGCTGCAGAGGCGGCGGGCGAGGCAGCCGGCGGTGCTGGCGCCATCGCCGGCGGCGCCGCCGGTGTTCAAGACGCTCAGGGAGAAGAAGTCGGCACAGGCGTCGGCGGAGGGCTGGGCGGCGGAGGTGGCGAGGGCCGAGGAGCTCTACGAGGAGCTGCGCGAGCGCGCGCCCCAGCACTGCCGCCGTGGCGGCAAGTGGGCGCGCGAGAAGTTCGTGACGGCGGTGCAGGGAGAGTTCCCGCGCGCGCGAGGGGCAGGCGTTCCCAAGGGGACGATCCTGTGCCTCGGCAGGGTGCTCGACGCGCACGATGAGCAGGACGACGCGGAGGGTGGGCGCCGGGATTGTGAGGAGGACCCGCTCGGGTTCGACACCAACCCGATGCTGCTCCGCGCCATGTGCATGGCGTTCGAGTGAACGCCGTGCAGGCAGCCCGTGGGTCACCGTCACCACCCCCTGGCCGCCCTTGAAGTGGGCCAGGCGCGCCGCGGGCTTGAGCTGAGTGTCCCTGTCGCCTGAGCCCTGGTGTCGAGGTGTCGAGGCCCGGTGTCGAGGTAGAGCGCCCACGCATGAGGATGCGCGTCTGCGTCCAGGTACGAGGTAGCCCCGAGACGTGTCTTCGTGTCTGGGCGCTTATCTCGAGTAAGTAAGGCTCGCGCCTACACGTGTAGCTGCATGTCTTTGGGGGTACGGTCGAGGTCGGCGACTAAAGCCATACCTGGTACTAACTTTAGCTCCGGGGTCGTCCTCAGCTCACGAATGTCGAATCGGGGACTAGCACGAGCCGTCGACCTGTTTTTTCTTTACCTGCTATCTATTTAAACACGGCGACGACGCGTCCGCGCTTTCTACGTTCTAGCGGCGCGCGGCGGCTGTGGCGACTTTGCATACTGCGGCAGCAGCGACTCGCTGGGAATGGCCGGCAGCGGCGCACGGGGCGGCTTCGGCGCGGGCTTCGGCCAGCCCATCTTGCCGCCCCTGCCTCCGGACGCGAGCGTCGAGCTGGGTTGCGTGGGCTGCGGCGTCGCGGGCGCGGGCTCGATCGGGCTGACCGGCACGTGAGGCGCCTAGACCCATCTGCGTCGGATGACGGAACCAGGCAGCTGCAGGACAGGGATAGGGCACCTTTGCGCTGGGTGTGATCGCGGCTATCTAGTGCGGGCGCCGGCCCGAGGTCGACCGTCATCTCGCGTGTCCGCGCCTAGTGCAGGAGAAGGAGAGAGATGACGGGACGTGCCGAATCCGCTCCTCTCGCGGAGTCGATCTCGGTCAATCTCGGCCAATCTCGGCCAATCTCGGCCAATCTCGGTCAATCTCGGCTAGTCTCGGCTCATCTCGGGCGGGGATCTGCTCCTCGGCGACGATGAGGCCGGAGCCGGCGATGATGAGCGCACCTGAGCTCGGCAATCTCAGATCTCGCGTAACCTCGGGCAATCTGGGGTACTCTCGGAGCGGGCGACGATGAGCGCACCGCCGAGGAGGGTGAGTGGCGTCGGGAGGGTCTCGACTCCAAAGGCGAACGCCTCGGCCTAGTGAAACAATGCGCTCCTCCTCCCTCCCCCCATCTCTCCTCCTCTCTCCCCCTCTCTCCCCTTCTCTCCCCTCTCCCCCCCTCTCTCCCCCTCTCACCCCATCCCCCCCCACCTCTCCCCCTCTCTCCCCCTCTCCCGCGCCTCGGCGACGATCGGGATGAGCAGTACCGTCGCCATCAGCACGAGGGCAGACACGTACCTAATCTCGGGTCATCTCAGGTAATCCTATCACGAGGGCGGACACATACTTGAGCAGCGCCTAATCTCGGGTCATCTCGGGTCATCTCGGGTGATCTCGGGCCATCTCGGAAGCGTGCTTGAGCAGCGCCACGAAGGCGACGGAGCCAGAGTAGTCGGCGAGCACGGCCATCGCCAGCTGCATGCGGAGGAGTCCAGGCACCTTCGTGGGAGCGTGCCTTGGTGAGGAGCGCACTGCTGGGCCCACGCCGAGTCGGCGGGGGGCAGGGGGAGAGTTTGGGAGAGTTTGGGAGGTGGGGAGAGATATGGGAAGATATGGGGAGATTTCGGGAGATTTTGGGAGAGATGTGGGGAGATGTGGGGAGATATGGGGGTGGGAGCCGCGGCACCGGCTTCGACTCGGTCGACGGCGTCGTGTCCACCTTGACCCACCCAAAGACGCCGTGTAAATAACTAACTAACTAAGAGAGTTAACGACTTGGTAGTGATACAAATAAGAACCTTGACCCACCCAAAGACGCCGCGCAGCGGGTCGAGCGTCAGCTCCGGCGGCGCGGAGTCGAGCACGCGGGCGGCGAGCAGGAAGGGGCCGATGAGGAGGAGCTGCACCTGTTCACAGCAAGAGGCGTGAAGGGACGCTGTTCACAAGGACGGGGCCGATGAGGAGGAGCTGCACCGCCGCGTAAAAGACGGCCGGGTCCATCTCGTTGCGCAGCCGGCCGGCGTAGTGAAAGTAGAGGCAGGTGCCGAGCCCTGTGAAGACCGCCAGCAGGTCCGCCTTGAGCGGCACCGCGGGCCGGTCCTCGCCGTCCGTGCCCATGATGCGCCGCACGATCTCCGGGTTGTACACCTACGTAGCACACGCACCGTAGACACACGACAGCCAGCTCCTCCTCACCGAGGTCACGATCTCCGCGCTGCCCACGTAGTCAATACACATTGTACTAGGCAATGAAAGGGAGCGGCTAGCGACTCAGCCACGGTCCTTGGGCGGCGCACCGTGTCGTCGAGGATACAAAGCACCACGCCCACCCCTCCCAGCACCACGCCAAGGCCGTCTCGCGCGGGGACGGGCGCTCTGCGGCCGGGCGCGGCGAGATCACCCGAGATTACCCGAGATTGCCCGAGACTACCCGAGATTGCCCGAGATTACCCGAGATTATCCGAGATTACCCGATATTGCCCGAGACTACCCGAGATCACCCGAGATCACCTGCGGCCGAGCGCGGCGAGGACCAGCTGCAGCGCGACGGACCAGCTCGACGACATCGAGTCGAAGAGGGCGCCTGTTCTCGTCCGTTGGGGTTCGGGTACCGGGGCTGGTAGGGTACGGCAGTCAGACGAAGAGGGCGCCGTGCGCCACGGAGGTGCGGGAGCAGGCCGCCTGGTTGGGAGAGGGAGACTCCGTCCTTTGGGGGAGGCATGGGTGCGCATGGGTGCGGGGGCGGGTGGCGGGTGACCGCTTCACAATGGACCGGGAGAAGCTGAGTCATGAAGCTAGCTGGTGGAGGCATGGGTGCCGGGGGGGGGGGGGGG